CGGGTCGGGTACAGATTTTAGGACCCGAGAAGACCTCTAGCTCCCGCTGCATCACTGACTGCGAGTCCTCTGGTTTTCTGGGCTCGTTCTCATCCTGATTTATCAGCCATCCCATCCTCTCCTCTCCAAAAGAATAAGACTGTAAACATCAGCGAGTCATTCTGTCAGACGATGCTGATTTCTTATTTCATTCACTGAAACTCACAGCCTGTCAGTTTGAGAAACTCTTCGACTACTGCAATCTGACACGATATAAGCTGTTATATATAAACATTATTACAGGGGAAAACTGCTGTAGAAAAACAAACAAACATTCATTTTCTACCTTTTCTGTCATTTTTATTCAAATTATAGCCTTAAAATCTGCATTTTTATGACCTGAACAAATAAAACAAAACTACAGCATACAAAAACATATCTATAGGTGTATATATAGCAATACATCTTTAATACTGAATCGATTCAACTAATAACACTATAACAAACTTTTTTTTTTTTAAAGAGCTACTTGTTTAGTCTGCATAAACAAAAATAAAATAAAACTCTCACTCGAGTGCATTGTGTCTCGTCATTAGTAAAGCTACGAATCAGAAAGACTTTAAAAAGTATGTTTTTTCTGTCTCTGTATATGTTCAGGTATATCCAGTATGGGCACCAGCATTTATACTTAACTAAGTATTAGGAATTTGTCAATTTAACCATATAAACGTAACTGCTAAAATCATGTTTCAAACTTCAAATACAGAAACACTGGCAGGCAAATGCAGAATCAGCTGATGTTTCTGACTGGCTGCCAGCTCAATGCAGTTACAGACATTGATTAACCTCGTTTGTACGAGTCACAGGTTCAGGCTCCTGGTCTCTCAGAGGCCTGCAAGCACACCGTTACACTGAACACACACCGACGGTGTGGTGTCTTTCCCCTTTGAGTTTGGTTCATGTGTTAGTGGATAGATGTGCTGCAGCCCAGCCGGCCTTCACATGTAATGCTGCTAACATCAGCCAAAAAACATAAGATCACTGAACAGAACAAAACTCAACCTCAAACTCTTCGACAAAATATGGCTGGTATATGTGTGGATATTTAATACAGTGGGCCTCATTTATAAAACGTGCGTACGCACAGATTTGATCGTAGAGCGTACGCAACAATCCACGGCAACGTTCATATTTATAAAAATGGTCTTTGACGTGGAAAAGAGCTTAGCGCCACGTCAGGGTCGGAGCAGACGTACACACTTTTGTTTGCCTGAGTGCTGCAGGTTTTTGGAAATATAAGCCATTCTTGCTGCTTGTAAAAGATTTGGACATTGTCGGGTGCTCTTTTATAAGTCAATGACATTAATTAGACATTGTTTACAAGGCGGAGATCTGAAACTGTTCAGCTGCGTGCAAATTCAAGATCATTTGCGATTCATATTTCACATCTGAAAGAGAGGCATACGTGCATTTTCTGTGCGTACGATTATTCTATGAATCGCACGTACGCATATCTGAGAGATGATCGTAAGATCAAATTTAGGATGGTTTCTGCGCAACATTTTATAAATGAGGCCCACTATGTATAAGCACAGTCTTATCTATAGTAACAGAGTTTCATGGAATCTCTTTTAATCAGGAAAAAAATGTATTTTCATCATGTTTTGAGAATAAAATGTTATATAAATCAGATAAATATTATGAAACCTTAAGAAAAATAAATGTAAAGTTTGCAACTGTATTACTGTGATGTGAGAGCTTGTCACTAAAACACTCTTTATGATCGTTTTGGTGCAGCTTTTTGTGCAACTTTATTTGAAAATATTCTTGTAGTCACATTCTATTGATACATGAAAAATGATTTCCACTAAACTAAAGTTACAATGCATTCCCACACAGGAACTAAATACTTACAGAAACTGCAGTCAGGAATAATCAATGAGCTCATGTTTCCTCGACAGACTCCAATCCTTCAGATATACACTCCATAAATGAACTTCACAGAGTTAATAAACAATGAACCAACAATGAACTGACTTTAACTGAAAAACTGTTACTATTGTCCTCTTTTCAGAGCTGCTTTACAGCAGAATTGAATTTTGTTTGCAACATTGAAACACTATTCGGTAACACTTTAGAATACTGTTCCATCGTTAATGAATAACTACACAGGAACAAATGACTAATGCACTATCAACATCCTAGTAACTACTATTAACTAACAAGAAACTGATTAACGATTAAGTAATAGCGCTCAGATGAAACTGGTAGTTCACTATTAGCTAATCAATAACTGCTATTTTTCATATATCCTGGAGAACTACTGTATACATGTTCATAATTAATATGAATTATGCATAATGTATAATTAATTCTAAAATGAAGATCATGGTAACCCACTAGTAATGACTCCAAAATCCTGTATTAGTATTACCAAATTATTACCAAATCCTTCTAAAGGAAATACTAATTACTTGGATCAGTATTCTAAAGTGAAAAGCATGATAACTCACTAATATTGGCTGACGTCATTTTAAGCTTTTGAGATATATGAAAGGTTTTAGATAGTAAGGACTCAAGTGTTACTACATCCTTCTGAAGAAATTAATAATTATTTGGATCAGTTTTCTAAAGTGAATATCACGGTAACCCACTAATGATTTAAGAGTTACCAAATCTAGCAAAATGAATTACTAACCAGGACCTTACAAAACCCTCAAAAGTTTACAATGATTTCAGTCATTACTAGAGAATTATCATGTTATTCACTTTAGAATACTGATCCAAATATTAGCAATTCCTTCTGAAGAATTTGGTAATACTTGAGTCATTACTAGTGGGTTACCATGACCTTCACTTTAGAATTAATTATACGTTATGCATTATTCATATTTATTACGCACCTGTATACAGTAATTCTTAGTATTCCTTGGGTGTGTATGAAACAGTAGTTACTGATTAGCTAATAGTGAACTACCACATTCCACTAAGCACTATTACTTACGAATTCATTAATCAGAGTTTCTTGTTAGATACTAGTAGAGTGCTTATATTGTGTTACTCGTGTTCTTGTGTAGTTATTTATTAATAATGGAACAGTATTCTAAAGTATTACCCACTATTTTCCTGATTAACACTGTGAAGCTGCCATGACACCATCTGTATCGTATAAAGTGCTGTATAAATAAAGGTGAATTGACTTAGACAATGCAATGAAGCATTTTAAGATTATTTTTGTTTGCTTTATGTGTATAACCAAGTTCATATTGAATAATTTTCAGCACAAAACCCATGTAAATGGCTGGAAATTCAACGATCCTGTCTTGATATGTACTACTTGACATGCCAAATTAAGCAGCAATTTGCTGGTTTTGTGTCAGTATTCATTCATGTTTCCAAGGCCAGTGGATGAGTTACAGGGACAATCCTACAGATACGGGAGTATTTTATGATATTTTATGATCGGCGCTTATGAGCTTGAGAAAGGTCACTGCTCGCTGCCAAAGAAAGAAAGGTCAGACAGCTTTAGAGCGACACCAGGGTGAGTAAATAACCAGTGAACTGCCATTTCCAGTGATGTTCAGTAGCACATCTTTACCTGCAGCACAGCGGTTAATTGCTGTTTTTCCAATAACTGAGCTGAAGTATGCAGCATTCATTCACTCCATGCCGTCTGTGAATGTGTTCTCATAATCGTGACGTCATTCTTATGTTAGCGGTCGCTCCTGCTGACGGTCTGGCTACGTGACTCTGATGGTAAAATATAGCACATCAAAATGAAATCGTGCTGTTTTTGGACTAGTTGTTTATTTATAGACATGACTGTTATAACTAGAGGACAATAACAATCAACCCAAACCACTCACCCCCCCCCACCAACAGTAAAACTAAACAGTCAGCAATACAAATAAACTGATCCAAAACAGTCTGAGCGGATCCGTCTGATGAATGTCCAAAGACACATCTGTGCACCCTCTTCTGTCCAGCACACAGCAGCACCATCCCACAATGCACTGCACATACACACAGAGCGTCATGCACGTGTGCTCCCGGGGCCTCGCTCTCTTCACAAACATCCTCCAGCTTTCAACGGATGGAATTACGCTTCTTCTCAGCGAGTGGAGAAACGGTGAGAAATGCAGCTCCTCTGGAAGCTGACAACATACCGACAGACTGAAAGTGGCAAAAGAAGTGAAGCAAAGCAAAAGGACCATGCAATGGCTGACTGGAGCAGCTCCACCTGACAGTCTGTGCTGTGATTGGCCAATGCATCAGCCAATCAGAAATCTTAGTGATTTATGATATGTGAAATATTCCAATCCATTTCCAGTGATAATGATCCATAGGCAAGAAACACTCTCTCTGTCACACACTCACTCACACACACACGCACACACGCACACACGCACACACAGAAACGGTGAGAAATGCAGCTCCTCTGGAAGCTGACAACATACCGACAGACTGAAAGTGGCAAAAGAAGTGAAGCAAAGCAAAAGGACCATGCAATGGCTGACTGGAGCAGCTCCACCCGACGGTCTGTGCTGTGATTGGCCAATGCATCCGCCAATCAGAGATCTTAGTGATTTATGATATGTGAAATATTCCAATCCATTTCCAGTGATAATGATCCATAGGCAAGAAACACTCTCTCTGTCACACACTCACTCACACACACACGCACACACGCACACACGCACACACACACACACACACACTCACACACACACACACACACACACAGGTGTCTCACACACACACACACACAGGTGTCTCACACACACACACACATACATACATACATACATAACACACACACATGCGCGCACACACACCTGTGAGCAGGCCCGAGTTGTCCACGGCTCCGGGGTACACGTTCTGGTCACCCATCTGGTATTTGTCCCAGCTGTCGAAGCCCACATACTTCTTCCACTGCTTGAACCAGCGACTATCCACCAGATACCTGCGGGAGCACACACACACACACACACACACGCACACTCACTCACTCACTCACTCACTCACTCTTGGCTCTCTCTTATCTGAGTGTTCTCTGGATGCTTGTACAGTGTGTTGTATTGTCCTGATGTGTGCGTGTGTGTCAGTGTCAGCATGTGTTTCTGTGTTGCGTCTCATCTTCACTCTACTCTTCCTCTTCCTCCTCCTCCTCACTGATGGGAAGCACCTCCTCCTGCAGGCAGGATCTGAAGTAGCTGCTCAGTGTTGAAGCCACGTGCCGCTGGCTGCTCTTGGACAAGAAATGACCTTCGTCTGGATAAATCTGAAGAACAACCATCAACAAACAAGACTACAGTCAAGCATTGATAAACAAAGCCACACTGATGCTGAAACAGAAGTCCATCTGCAGTGCTCAGTACCTGCAGTGTGTAATTCGCTCCCACCTTCACCAGGTTCTTAATGAGCTCGGCCGTGTGCTGGAAGTGAACATTTGCTGCAGGAAACAGAATTTGAGTGTTTGAAGACTGGCTCAGTGACAGAGTAATGCGATCAAATGATCTGCTATGAGAGGTCGTTTCTATTGTGAATATAGTGGCTTCACCTCAAGTATCCAAAAATAGTTACAAGAGAAACAAGCAAGAACACAAATATTCCACACACACACACACACACACACACACACACACTTACATACACACAGACACACATGCATATGCATTATATATATACACATGATTACGGTGGCCGAGAGAGCTCAACGCACTGCAACTTAAGAAAACACATGCAAATTGAAAAAACACCAGCAAATTAAGAAAACATCTTCATCAGTTTG